GTCTGATAACGTAGGTTAAGCAAATAGGCACATGAACCTAAAAATGCCCTGAGAGCCGTAATGGCCTTCACACACCAGGATGGACCAAGAGAAAGAAGCGACTGTCCCCAATTTTCTTGGCCCACTCTTCTCACAGTCTCACGGGTAGGCCTGCTAATGAGTTGTGTGCTGGTTTCTTCCTGTTCCTCCCATTTATTTATCTATTTATTTCCTTTTTAACCTTGGAAATGGGGACAAAGTCCTGATAGGTTCCTTGTAGTCACTTGCTCTTTGCAGAGGTGGCAAACTGATATTAGCAGCTTGCTCAGTTTGTTCAACAGAGCTAGAAAGCAATAAAAGCAACCCAGAGGCCAGATGTCAAAATAAAACACTTAGAGAAGTGGATCTTGGGGATGGAGAGAGGGCTTATTGGGGAGTAGGCTTTCTTCGTGAGTGTGAGGACTTGGGTTTGAATCCCTAGCACCCATGTGAACAAGCAGAGCGTGGCTATACAAGTGTCCAGAGCTGCAGGACTGGAGGGCATGGAAGGCAGAAACACAGGTCTCCAGAGTGTGCTATGAAGGCGGAAGTCACAAACAATCCCACACCAGTTTGGAATTATGATTAATAGAATGGTTATTTATTCAAAGGGGAAAAAAACTTACAGATTACCGTCCCAGACAACAGCCCCTCCAGAGAGAGAGTGGAGGACAACCGCTGCTTTTTTAAAGAGAGAGAGACCACGCCCCAATGGGCTGGTATCTCAGCGGCTATTGGCTGAAGGAGTGGAAGGAGCTCCCGCAGCAGTGCTAGACAGCCAACCTAGCCAACATGGTGAGCTTCCGGGCCAATCAGAGGCACTGTCTCAACGCAAGAAAGAATAAAAAAACAACAGAGGAAGACACCTGGGCATCATGCTCCAGACTCCACAGGGGCACACAGACCCACACTCATGTGCCCATGCAGAAGAACACAGGTGCACACATAACATACAATTCACACAGAGAGAGAGACACACACAAATAAAAGAAATGGGTCTTCTAAAGAGGGAGACTGTATGCATGTCCAAGATACTTGCAAAGAGAGTCCCCAGCTGTGTCCCGTCTCGTAATGGACATCCCATCAGGCACAGCTAGCGGATAGTGTTGTGGTTTCAGCAACTTCTAGAGCTTTGCCCTTCTGGTTGATGGAACCACCCTGAGAATGAGATCCTATGTCTTCCCAGCTCCTAGAGGAACCAAATGTGGACGAGTGGCGGCAAAGTGCTTCCCCTGTATGTATATGTAGTGCTTCCCCTGGCATGGCCTGAGACACTGCCCCACTCTGTTCTGATCCTTAGCTCCCATCATCCCCGCGTCTGCTTTCATTGGTGTATTGATGTCTGTGAGTAAATGAGACGGATTGGTGCTTTTCAGTTTTTTTTTTTTTCTGGATATCTTGCGAGCAGCCTCCTTCAAACAGCAGGCTGAAAACAAGCTTTAAAGTCAATACAGGAACTAGAACTGGAAAGAGAAATAAATAGGTTCTCAAGCTTCGCCCTCGGTTCCTCCCTGAAACGGTCTGCAGCCTCCCCAGGACTGCTGTCGGGGGGGGGGGGTGGCTACTTCCCAAGCCATTTGTAGTAGTCAGGGTAGGTTAGCTCATGCTACAGTAACAACTATGTCCCCAAAATCTGTGCATTAGGATGGTGTAAGTTTACATCCTGTTCCCCCAAGTATCCCCCAGGTCAATGGGGGTCATTTCGTTCACTATGGCTTGTTCATATATTCCTCTTGGGAAGATGAAACATGGGAACCACACACAGCACATACATAGGCACACACAGAAGCGATGCCTGTTCCCCTGCTCACTTTTTCCTCTGTAAAACTCTAGTATGTGGCCATGCTTCACCGAGCCGAGGACATATACTCTTCGAATCCAGAAGAAGAGCTGGTCGGAACCCAGACCTTAATGGCATCTTCCATTTGGTTCTTTGTCAACACAAAGAACCCTATCTCACTATCAGCTATTCAAGAATAATGTCTCCTGAGCTTTGACAATTGCCATGCATGTAGAGAGGTAGTTTTTTGTTGTTGTTGTTGTTGTTTTACTTTGTTTTTTGACTGTTAAGTGGCCAGAATTCCTCATAAAAATATTACTTGAGTTTTGAGGAATAATTCAGCTAGTAAAGCAATCACTTGGCCCACAGGTCTGAGGACATGCGTTCAACCCCAGATCCACATGAAAAAGTCAGGTATTGTGGTACATGCTGTGACCCCAGGACTGGAGAGGTAGGGACAAAAGAACACCCCTGCAGCTTGCTAGCCAATAGGCAAATTGGTGAGCTGCAGGCCAATGAGAGATTCTGACTCATAAATCAGAGTGGCTAGCTCCAGAAGAATAATAGCCATAACCAAGATTCGCCTCCGCCACAACGGCCACATTGATACACCCACACAGGAGGCTCCCTTGGGCACACATGCATTTAGACGCACACTATTTTTTGGTGTAGACACTGGTAGAGGAGTTTTTGAGCCAGGTTCAAGCTTGAGCTGTCTTCTCTAAGTCAGGTAGAGAACCACTCACTCAGCCTCCCCCGGGCACACACGGAAACCAAGTGGTGTCCCGTCAGTGTGCTGTCTCTCTCCTGCCACAGTGTGGTTCATGAGTCACTGACATGGAGAAGCAGGGGCTCCCCAGAAAGCCAACACTGGTTTGTGAATCCTGCCTTCCTCCACACCTTCACATGAGGCCCCTTCTAGCCCGACCCAAAGGGCAGGTGTGCCGTGCTTTTGACCCAGGTGACATGTTCTTGCTGTCTTTCCAATCTCGAGCAGTTGGCTCTCTATACATGCACGCCCACAAAGGTAAGAAGGGGACACAGACAGCTCACATAGCCAGTGCCGACCCGTCTTCCCAGGATGTTTTTCACACACCCAAAAGAATCGCTGATTTCCCGTGACTTTCTGCAGGGCACTAATTTTGTTCCCCTCCAGCAACTGCTAGGGTTTCTCTGTCTTTGCTCTCCTCTGGAGCCCATAGACAGCGGCGGGCTCCCTTCTCCTTTGTTTTCCTCCCTTGCCTGGCAGCAGGTGAAGAAACACAGTAAGTGACAAGCAGGGAAAACAGCCCTATTCAGCCACCCCAGGTGATTGTACTTCCTTTTCTCTTCCCTCATTTGCATGAAGATGCTTCCAGGATCACCTTGAGATTTCCCAGGCCCTGGCATACTGTTTAAAAATAAAACCCATACATGGAAAAGCCCATTCATATACGTAGGGGGAAAGAATAAGAGCTGCCACATCCGAGGAGCGCATGTGTGCCCAGGGATGCTTGCTTGTTACCTTTTATCCTTACAACCACTCCAGGAGTGGCATCTTTATTTCACAAATGATGAAAAGCCTTGGGGGTTGCTAGTGAGCTGCAGAGCCGGGATTCAGCACCGCCACCCCAGCGCTTTACAGCTCTCTCCTCTCCAACACATGGCTGTGCAAAAGCAACTGGTCCGTAGTAGCACGGGGAGGGCCACTAAGCATCGATCAGGGTAGAGAATATTAGTATCCCAAAGCCAGTTTGCACCTAACCAGAACAACCGGTGGCCTTGAGTTCCTTGCACAGAATACAAGAATCTCGTGTTCACTCACAAAGGCCGGATGTTGAAGATGGACTAAAGAGAAATCTCAAACGAGATGCTGTACCGAGTGAGGGGGCCTGCGTGTAAAGACCTCTGTTTTCCCTACTGCATCCACGTGGACTGGAGCAAAGAACCTAGGTTCTCCAAGCCTCCGTTTTCACACCAAATGGAGGGCGTGAAAAACCCTATTCTATCAGCTTATAGGACAAATTTATTGAAACAGCAAGAGTGTGCTATGTGTGACTCTTGGTGCGGAGGAGACCCTGGGAAAATGATAGCCAGTGTTAAGAGGCTTGGCGGGAGGCAGGGGGCACTTTACAAACGGCAAAATGCTCATCTGGTGTCTGCGGCCATCACTCTTCCCCAGCTGTCCATCCATCTGGTCCCGGCCTGCAGCCCCATTTTCCTTACCTCACCTACTATTCTCCAGGTCCCCAAGAATCTCTTTTTTGGTTCCTGGGAGCACGGTTTCTCATTAAAAAAAAAAAAAAAGACATTTCTAAGTAGCTCATCCCTAGCGCACTGCTTTGCAGGGCAGCTGTAAAATGGACAGCAAAATCCAGGGAGTAAGCTGCAGTTCCCATTTGTTCCCAGGACTTGGGTTGGCACATCAAAGACGTGCCAGTACCAAGCTGTCTGGATTCACAAAGCCAAACGGCATAGTGATGCATGGTGTCTTTGAGCACCAGAGCTGGACCAGAGGTTTCTAATGGAGGGCTGGGGCCCAGCCAACGGCCATCTTCAAGACTTGGGTCATCCTAGCCAGTAGAATCTTAGGCACCATAAATGACAGCTTGTCATCCCCAAGTATGCAGTCACGTGTCTGGTGTGGTTTTTCTGGCCCTTACTAGTGACTCTGCAAGATGGATGCTGTCATCATCTTCATCACTGTTTGCAGATTTGTAAACTGAGCCATAGAGCTCAAAAAGTCTCCAAAAGGGCAGGATTTTCATTCAAGCATCCTGGGCATCCATTTCCTTGAATTGCATTCTGCACCTGCTCTTTTTAGTTACGAACCTGCTTTAATTCACGCTGTGAGAGTTGGAATGAAATTTCTGGCCAGCCGTTTCAGGTGAGAGAGTGTGTGCCTAGTGACAGTCCGCCCTTGGATAGTGAATGTTTGCTTGTGTTTTCGTGAACTCGGCTTGGCAATGCAGCGAGATGAGTCAATTCCAGCCTGCCTCGGCTGTCTGGCTCCTCGCTGTTTTTGTTTAGACAAATTATAAGTGCGGAGCAGACAAGGAAATTAAGGGGGAAACATGTTCCATCCCCGGTGATGGGAGAAACAGGACTTCTGAGGTGGGAAAGATGGTTTCTCAGCTCAGAGCTCCACCCCCGTCTCTCTTTTCAAGTCCCCATGGCCCACATGCCCCGCCTGTCCACTAAACAGTGCCCTTTCTGTTGGCAGGTAACCTGGACATCACTCCAGATGACCCACGCTGGATTGGAGCCTGGTGGGGCGGCTTTCTGCTCTGCGGTGCCTTGCTCTTCTTCTCGTCCCTCTTGATGTTTGGGTTCCCACAGTCCCTGCCCCCACACTCAGACCCCGCCATGGAGAGTGAACAGGCTATGCTCCCAGAGAGAGAATACGAGAGGCCCAAGCCCAGCAATGGGGTCCTGAGACACCCTCTGGAGCCAGACAGCAGTGCCTCCTGCTTCCAGCAGCTGAGAGGTAAGCACCAGAACGGAACTGCGCGGTCACAATGATGGGGGTGCCGTGATGGGAAAAATCTGGCCACTGGGGTTTTTCAGAGTTTTCCGTAATTGGACGCACAAATCGTATGCCTGACTTATGATCAGAAACAATGAGTGCAAAAGGTCACCACCATTTACTGGTGAACCCCTGGTGATCTCATCGGTAAATGGGGCGCAGAAAAGCTCTAAACTTTTTTGGAAGCAAAGTGAAAATCGGACGCAGCTTTTCTTTGACAAAATGGCAAAAAACAAACAAACAAACAAGGCGGATAAGGATGTCAACCCAGAAAGATGCATTCTGGGTTGTTTCCACTTTTAGCATGATCTCTTAAAGGCATAGAAAATGACAGTGAAGTTAGCACATTGACTATAGTGAACATAGCCCAGCAACCTCGGACTGCTCCATGCTTCCGTCTGTCCATCCTTTCTCCTCTCTCTCTCTCTCTCTCTCTCTCTCTCACGCATGTACACACGCATACACACTAAGGGAGCTACAGGGTAACTGCTTGAGTTTAGACAAGAGCAGTTGGCTGCAGGTGGGTGCCTGGAGGCGACGGAGGCTGACGTACCCCCTCTCGGAGAAGTTGGGATGGAAGGACAATGGATGGACATCACTTCTTCTAAGCCAGCCTTTAGTAGTCACATGGGCCACATGCTAAGACATCATTCAGCATTGCCCAGAGGTCAAATCAAAGTCAAGGTGAGCACCTATAGGAAGAGGTGCCCCTATGGCATATTCTTGATAACCACAGGCTTTGACAGACCCCAGGGTCCTTCCCTGTCTCCTTCCACACTGGCTGTGAGGTTGCTTTGTTCTCCCACCATGTTTCCACAAGTTTAAGACTGTGCAGGGTTCTTCTGTCATGTCATTATCCTGAGAATAAAAGCTCTACCTGCAGAGACACTTAATCAAACCTGCAGGTCCACGAGGAGCCGGACGGACCTGTGCTATTTCTGCAAAGACACTAATTTAATAACCTGATGTCACATCTGGTCCCATGTTCTCTGTCGGTATCTACAAGTGCTGCGAGCCAACTGATGGCCTTAAAATTCCTCTTTTTAAACTCGGGATGCACTAGTAGGTGGGAAGCCCAGCTACTGTATGTCCCTGGAGGTTGCCTTAGCTGGGACCACCCCCTCAATAAGGGTGTAGATTGCGTCTACCACATTCCAGAAGTCCCCAGCCAGTTGGAGGGTGAGGCCTGCCGTTATCTTGAGAGCACAGCTGACTGTAATCTCAAGCCCCCGGCCTACAATAATCCATCGGACTGGTATCAGAGTAGGTCTGGCAAGAGAGGACCCTGGTCCCCAGTCGTGGCAGCTTGTCAGGTGACAGTTCTGTCTCCTACAAACCACATTTGTAGACTCTCCCTTTCATCTCTGAGTATACAGAGATAAGAAAGAAAGAAAGAAAGAAAGAAAGAAAGAAAGAAAGAAAGAAAG